ACACACAAATATATATATATATATATATATATATTAGTTTGTGCTTCTACATGGTTATAAGGGTAAAATCCTATTTATAAAAATTCAAGCTGGTTTTTATATAAAAAACAATTTTCCATTGCCTACTTGTTTTTTTATTTGTTATGAATTCACTTTTTTCTAGTTAGAATTTCATAACTTTTATATGTATTTTCACTACGCATATATATGTATTTTCTCACACTTTCCACATGTATATTTTAATATGAAAATTTATTTGGCATGCACTGTTGCATGGCATGTATTTTGGTCACCATAGAAAAACAATAAAATGATTTTTTTTAACTAGGAATAAAGTATAAATGCACAAGAAGAAAATGATATATCTCTTGGCTTTTAATGTATGTGTGAGAAAGAGAAACTTGTACTCAAAGTTGAGCTTAAACACAATAAAAAAAAGAAGCAAAAAGATAAAAATCCATTGTCAAAACGATATAAGATATAAGGGACAAATATGCTATGATATAAAAGAAGGGTTGTCTCTTATTGCCAAAACAACGTTATTTTTGGCTTTCTTCCTCATCTTTTTTTTATATGAAACTCAAAATTTTATTAAACCTTTTTCTCGTTTCTATTTTTATTCTTCTTTTTTTTCGAATGAATCTTTGTAATTTTAGTTCCTTTGTATTTAGTTAGTTTGGATTGATTTTTCAAATTTCTTTCAATTAAGCCTCTAATGATATTCAAAACAATCCCTTCATGTCGGTACCTTTTATTCTTCAGTCTTTGGATTTTTAATTTATTTATTTTTGGTCAAATTGACCTAAAATCTTATTTGTTATTTTCAATTAAACCCTTAATTAAATTAATAGATCCTTAAATTCTAGCATGATGTGAATCTCATGGATATAAAGATCTAGAAACCTATAATCAAATTGACTCTTTCTTATAAAGCTATATTTAAGTTTGTAATTGAACTTGATATAATAATAACATATACCAAGACACCAATGCTATAAGTTATTAACCCCAACCCATAACCTATAATTGAGACGCAAATGAGAATTATAGAAGATGCCATAAAACTTGATTAACTTTTTAATAAGTGAGAGTAGTTCTATGAAGAACTAAAAAGTGTGAGCAAAACCTCATATATACAATAATAATTACTAAAATCAAAGTTAAATAAACCTATTTATACTAGGTGAATCTTTCAAAATAGTTTTGAAAAAATAATAAAAAATTTCTAAATAAAATAGAAAAAAATCTTAAATCAACTAAGAAATTAATAAAATTCTTGTATAGTAGCTTCTGGACCTTCTCACAAGGCCCTTCTGATGTCTGATTACCTTAAAATCTTAAACTAATATAAAAAAGACCTCTAGAAACTTCTGATGGAATTTTAGCTTGATTCAATAATCGGATTGAAATTGATACTTGTTACCATAAAACTATACATTAACAAAATAAGTCAAATCCATGTGTAAGTAGGAAAATAAGCTGAATC